ATCCAGGCCCACAACAGTGAAAGTGCTAAGTCCTAACCACTGGACTGCCAGGGAATTCCAGATAATGTTTGAGTCTTAAATAGTGCACCCAGTTCTATACTTTTTACAAAAATCACAGTTATTTTTTCACAAAAATTATTTTTTAAAAATTAAAGGAGCAACATCAATAAAGTACGAGAGGAAATGTGATGAAAAATTTTTACCATACAATATAACACCTTGTACCATTTTGGGGAACATTAAATCATCCTGTTGAGAGATGAAGCAAAATCAGTAAGTCAAAAAACTATAATTCATGAAATAAAAAGATTCACAATCTTTAATGGACATAGAAAAAATATATTAAAGTCATTATATTGTCTAAATAAAAAGTGAAAACAAAACATTCTTAAAAAACCATTAGACTAATTTAACAATAATAATTTATAGCTGATAAAAATAAAGAGATATGTATGTGTATGTAATATCTAATACATGGAAGAATCCAAGTGCAAAGAAACCACAACTCACATACAAGAAATGGAAACCAAAGAAAATAGGGAATATCACAGAAGAGGAAAAATGACAAAATACATCAAATGTAGCAATTTTAAATGGATTAAAAGACAACAGCCTTCAAAATGGCTTGAAAAATCCAATCAAATTCTGTTTATAAGAGATACACCTGAAATAAAGTTATAGGTTAAAAAACCATAGACAACAGCATGCCAGTAATTAATAACAAAGTGAACTCAAAGAAAACAAAACAAAACAGCAAAAAAAAAAAATTTTTTTAATGAAAGCACGCACACACAAAAAGATCACTTTATATGGGCAAAATTTTTTAAACTAACCAAAAAATAAAATAAAATAAATATCACAAACATAAGCTGAATACATAAAACTAGATTATATAAGTCAAAAATATTTAGATAGTCAACAAAAAATTTACAGAAAATATAGTAATGTAATGCAAACATTCCACTCCTGAGTTAAAACAGATTAAAAGAGGAAAATATCAATAAGATTGCACAGGCTCTGAAAGTCACAATATATTCTCCATCCTACTTCCATGAATATTTACAAATATTATGTGGAATATTAAGCCACAAAGGAAATCATTAAAAATATAACATAGCAAAAAGTGTATATATAGGCCAGTATTCTTTCTACAAACCACAAAGGGGAAAAAAAGACAAATTAACCACAAATGTTGGACTAAAAATGAAAGAAAAAGTCTCTTTGAAATTTAAAATCGCTACTAAATGTCTTCAAAGAAAACAATATCCTATCTATGAGTCTCAATTTTTTCATATTTAAAAAGGGTTTTAAATGAAAAACCCTTATAAGGTCTTTCTAGCCACCCCTTATCCTGACACACCCAAAGCACAATGGCTTTTATGTATCTACCAAGCATACACCATATGTTCAGCTTTCTAACTGATTATTCAATGTGATATGCAAAAGCAGAACAAGTCCCTACATTAAAACAGTGCATGATCAAATTAAGGAGTGAGGAAAAGCAAAGAGCAGTCACCAACAAACTATGAATATTCCAGAGATTCAAAGGAGATCAGGGTAGAAAGAAAAGACTTATTTATGTGAATTGTTAGGACTCAAAGAGTAAATCTGAAAAACCAGAAAAGAAATAAAAAACATTCTGGTTAATAATACTCTATCAATGAAAGCTAAAGAATAAAACGTTAAATACCAATGGTTATAAAAAGTTACTATAATGAAATACAGTCTAGGAAGAAAAACACAGTACTAGACCAAATTGTTTATACTACAAAATGAGTTGTAACAAGATTTTAAAGCACAATGGCTGTGGCTGCCAGCTAAAGTCTGGAAAGGCTCCCATCACTTTGAACGTCCATTCAAATAGACTTCCACTTTTAGATACATTTCATATCTCTGGAGAGAATAACATTACCGATAAACAATGATCTTTATTTGCCATTTGAGAAACTGACCGTAGCAGAGGTAAGATACTCAGCCAGGCTTCCACAGCTACTTCATGCAATGAGAGGAAAATAGTAACAGCTAAGAATTTAAAGAACATTATCACATTTGGGCTCTTTTGATTCTGTACACTGTATATTTATTTCACATTCCTAGAGTATAACAAACAAAAATTAAAAGAATTAGACTAAAAAACTCTAGTCAAGAGTGCTATTTATCCTGAAAAGAGAGTAGGAAACCCAGACAGATTTTAAATTGGTTTATAATGAACAAGGTAGACAGGACCAAGACTGCCAAGTAGGAGGAGGTGGGAGGAAATTAAGCATCCTAGTTTCTGAAGAAAATGCTGTTATTAAGTATAATTGCACCAACTTGATCCAAATCCAATATTTCTTATTCATTGAAAAGAAACATATTAAAATAGCAGCAATTTCCTTTACAAATAAACACATTCAGCCAAGGAAGCTTCTCCTAAAAAAGTTTAACCCTCAAGGTAATAAAAAGCAGAAACAAAGTTATTTAAGTGTTCTAACTTCAAATAATACCTTCTAAATACAGATATGCTATAGTTAATTCAGTAACAAATTTTTTAAATTCCACTAAAAATTACAATGAAATTCTTTGTCTAATCCTATACATTTATGTTAAAGTGCATAAAAGAAAATCTTCCAATGAATAATTAGAAATTATTACTATGTATTAACTGGAAATTATGAATGGTAATAGTTGTACTTAATTATTTATAATTATGATCTTTAAAAAGCTATGAGAAACAGGAAATTTCACTTACAAATGCGTACATTTAGGTCTGACAAATTTTGAATATAAGCATCTTGCAGCACATACTATAGAGAAATTTGATTCCTCCCTTAAGATATTTTCAATTATTATATGACCCTTGACTTGTGAGTTGCAACTGGACCAGAAACTATAAATTAACCATAAATATCTGTGGAGAAACCATATCTCTGAGTTTCTCTGAGTATGGTAACTCTTAAAATAGGTACATCCCTTGTAAATACAAGTTACAAGTGTAATTTAAATACTTCAGCTAAAGATGTTATCTCAGTAAGGTCTTTCTACCCATTACTCTCCCATGATTCACATACACACAAAAGCCACAATGAGTTTGTAGTGTTTAAAGACACTGGCTCCTAGGGGCGCTGAGACCCTAAGCCAGGATGGGTCACACACCCACCAGTGTGACTGTCTTCTTGCACCTGAGCTGTTACCTGGGGAGCCAAACAGAACAGCTCTTGAGTGGATACATGAACTGCGGCAAGAATTACTGTCCCAGAAGAGAAATATTTGATACTGCCCTGCTGGCAAGATATTTTTCCTGCTCTAAATCCTTGTAAGTAAAACTGATATAAAATGTCTGGTGAATCTGAGTGTTTGGTTGAACTTAAAAGACCATCTGAAAAAAAAAAAAAAGACCATCTGGTAAACTTTGAAAAAGCTAACCTCAAGATTTTAAATTTTTCTTCAGACACAAAAGAACTGTAATTTGTGCTAAGTGCACAGCATTTTCTCATAAAATATGAGAAGCAATTTCTTTTTAAAATATTCAATGTTTTCAAAACATTGTTTTCATTTTTCCAATATGTAAGCTTCAGATTAACCATTAATATAAATATAAAGGACTTTCATAGAGCCTCCACAGTAATATTCTACATTCAGCTTCTTAAATTGGGGGGATTAGTTACACTGATCAGATACTATGAGCATCACTGACAAATTCTCCATATGGTTTTTAAACATTCAATAAAATTATCTCAATAAGCAGAACTGAGTAGATCTGGGAATCCATGAAGCTTTATAGAAAGTTGGTTTTATCGAGATTTTTATCATTTATCGAGATTTTTAATTCTAAACATAATCTGAGATGTTAAAGAGTTTGTCAAGATCTTGCCTCATATGCTGACAAACTATTGCTATTTTTGACAGATTTTGTAGAGTTCATGTTAAGACACGAATTTTGTCTTTCATTTTAAATGCAAAAAGGCCCCCATTTAAAACTTAAGCTGTCTGGCTTCCTCCTGGCACCATCAAGAGAAACTGTGGCCCTGCCGTCTAACCCCGCCCCCTACATGCAGCAGGATTGTACCCAGATTTCCATCCCATTACTAAAGTTCATCCCTTTATGTCTCAACGGCTTTTTATTTTTAAGGATCTTTACTAAGGATCTTTTAACTCAGCACTCTGTTATGACCTAGAGGGCTGGGATGGGGTGGGGGTGGCAGGAGGGAGGCTCCAGAGAGAGGGAATATATATGTAGACACATAGCTGGTTCACTTCGTGAACTGGTACACAGCACTGTAAAGTAATTATACTCCAATTTAAAAAATTGAAAAAAAATCGACACTGTCTTAAACACATCAGTTCAGTTCAGTTCAGTAAGCAATTCTGCACCATTTGACACAGTAAGTTCTGAAACAAGCCTTTAAGTGTACCATCCTCACAGTCTAATAAGACGTGATCTCTAAATGGGATTCATTAAATGCTTAAAGAAATCCTCTTCTATTTTAAAGAAAATTATCTATCAGGTAAACTATTTTCTTGAAATCTTAAATTTATAAAGAATATCTTGCTAGAGATACTAAAGAAAAACAATTAAAAATTCTAACTAAAGCTTTTTTATATTCTCCTTTTCTAATAAAGACTTCCCTGGTGGCTCAGACAGTAAAGCGTCTGTCTGCAATACAGGAGACCTGGGTTCGATCCCTGGGTTGGGAAGATCCTCTGGAGAAGGAAATGGCAATCCACTCCAGTACTCTTACCTGGAAAATCCCACGGACGAAGGAGCATGGTAAGCTACAGTCCATGGGGTCTCAAAGAGTCGTACATGACTGAATGAATACACTTTCACTTCCTTTCTAATAAAATTTATATTTTAAATTATCTTCATTGTTGATATTCAACATCACTTGTCATTTTTTAGTAAAATCACTGTTTCATAATTATTTCATAAAATAAAAAATTTCATAAAATAAAAAATTCTTTCATAAAACTTTTAGTGAATTCCTTGATAAAGATACTCTTTAAATTAAATCACTTACTGTAAACAGCCCACTCTTACTGCTACAGGAACATGGGGAAGTTGAGTGGCCCATTTCAGTGTCACATCTTGATAAATATGCAACATATTATTATGGTTTCCAATCAAAGTATTTATTGTTCCTTCAGAAACTATGGATGGAAGATAGAAAAGGAATAGTAAGAAAAAAATCATTTTCAACAGTTTTTACATCCTTTTAGAATGTATTATTTATACATTCTATTATACATGTATAATTTGTATAATTCTATACAAATTAATTATAATATCTTGGCTTAATGCATAAAGATTTTAAATAATAAAACATTGTTTTTCAATTTCAAGGTACTAGTATCAAAAATTTTTTAAATCATTTATAAATATATAAAAATTATATATATAACTAGAGAAACTATAACTAGTGTGGCCAACATTTTTGCATTTTATCTAAAAAGGATGAACTTGATTAATATATTTAACATATTTAAGCTATTGATTTATTAGACTTTCACTACAGACAAGTAATTCTATGAGTCATTACTATGCTCATTTCTCCTTATAAAAGAGTCTGATGTTCTCTTGGAAGCATCTTGAATAGCCACATCTTGGAAAGCATTATTATATACCTGAGGCCAATTCTACAAATCATTTTGTACAAAGTAAAATGACTGACAAAACCAAATGTGTGCTTTATATCAAACCTCTGTTCAAACATTAAAAGCTAAAATTTCCATTACATGTTCAGTATAAAACTATTCTCCTAGTTCTTTAAAAAATATGTGAGTGACTTTGGCTTTTTCTGGTGGATATAACATAGTCATGACATATGGAAAAGATAAAAGAAAATCTTTCTACACACCTGAGCAATACGGGAGAAAACAACTTGGGCTATAATCAAGTTTCTTCATAAATCGAATTTGTCCATTATCCTTAAGGCAAAAAAAGTTTCTCTCACCAAGAACAAAAACAGAAGACGCTGACTGATTGAAAGATACAATACATATATCAAGGGCTTGTTCTCCAATATTTAGAGTCCAATCTACCTGCAAGGGAAAACTTATGATCACTGGGTTGCTAAAAATATAATTTCATTCACTTTGATATTAATACAATTAAGAAATGCTTTACAACAAAGCAGGCATAAAGATTAATCCTCATTCATTTTTTTCTCCTATTACCATATTTTTGATATTTTGTAGACTCTAGTAGTTTTTGCCCCTTTTACCATGTGATATAACAAACTGTGGAAAATTCTTAAAGAGATGGGAATAACAGACTACCTGACCTGCCTCTTGAGAAATCTGTATGTAGATCAAGAAGCAGCAGTTAGAAGTGGACACAGAACAATAGACTGGTTACAAATGGGGAAAGGAGTACATCAAGGCTGTATGTTGTCACCCTGCTTATTTAACTTATATGCAGAGTACATCATTTGAAATGCCAGGCTGGATGAAGCATAACATGGAATCAAGATTGCCATAAGAAATATCAATAATCTCATATATGCAGATGACACTACCCTTATGGCAGAAAGNGGGTCACAAAGAGCTTGACACGAATGAGCGACTTAATTGAACTGAACTGAACCATGTGATATTAACTATTTAGCAATTCAAACACTCATATAAGTATAATCAAGGAGGTAAAGATCTGTTTGTTGAAAACTATAAAACATTGACAAAATAAATTGAAGAGTTAAAATAAAAAGATATGCCATATTCATGGATTAGAAGAATTAATATCATTAAAATGTCCATACTGCTCAAAGTGATCTACAAATGCAAATCCCTATCAAAATTACAAAGGCATTTTTCACAGAAATAAAAAAATGTGCAAAATTCATGTGAACCCACAAGACACCAAATAGCCAAAACAATCTTGAGCAAAAAGAACAAAGCTGGAAGCATCATACTACCTGACTTCAAAATACACTACAAAACTATTCTAATCAAAACAGCATGGAACTGTCATAAATTTAAAAAAAAAAAACAACATCTAGACCAATGGAACAGAACAGGGAGCTGAGAAATAAAACTCTGCATTTACAGTCAACTCATGTTCAACAAAGGTACCAAGAACATACAATGCAGAATAGGATGGTATCTTCAAAAAATGGTGTTGGGAAACTTGATATCCACATGCAGAGGAATGAAAATGAACCCCTATCTCATACTATATACAAAAACCAATTCAAAATAGATTAAAGACTTAAATATAAGAGCTAAAGCTGTAAAATCATTAGAAGAAACACAGGGAAAAGCTCAATGACTTTTCAGATATGACCTCAAAAGTACAGACAACATTAAAATAGACAAAGGGGATTTTATCAAACTAAAAAGCTTCTACAGGGGAAAAAAAGAGAGAAAGCTTATTATGGGATTATATGAAATCATATATGTGGAAACTTTTGAAAACTGTAAAGCACTATAAATTTAAAGTCTTTTATTCAATCAAAAAATTAAAAAGCTTCTTCACAGCAAAGGAAGCAATCAGTAGTGTGAAGAGACAATCTATGGGATGGGAGAAAATATATCCAATAAGGAGTTAATATCAGACAGCTCAACAGTAAATAAAAAGGAAAAACAAAAACTTGATTTAAAACTGGGCAAAAGACCTAAATGTCTTATTTCTCAAAATAAGACATACAAATGACAAATAGATATATTAAAAAATGCTCACCAATAAAAAAAGAAAAAAAAATCCTCACCAACACTAACCATCAGAGAAATGCAATGAGATATCTCCTTATATCTTTTAGAATGGTTATTATCAAAAAGAAAAGAGATAATAAGTGTTGGTGAGAATGTGCAGAAAAGCAAACCCTGTATACTGCTGGTAGGAATATAAAACATTACATCTACTATGGAAAACAATATGGAGATTCCTCAAAAAATTAAAAATAGAACTACCATATGACCCAGCAATCCCACTTCTGGGTACATAACCAAAGGAAGTGAAAACAGAATATTGAGGAGATATCTGCCATCCCATGTTCACTGTAGCATGATTCACAATAGCCAAAACATGAAATCAACCAAACTTCCAATGATGGATGAATGGCTAAAGAAAACATGATACAGGAAGGGCTGATATTGAAGCTGAAACTCCAATACTTTGGCCACCTGATGCGAAGAACTGACTCATTTGAAAAGACCCTGATGCTAGGAAAGATTGAAGGCAGGAGGAGAAGGGGGTGACAGAGATGGTTGGATGGCAGCACTGACTCAATGGACATGAGTTTGAGCAAGCTCCAGGAGTCAGTGATGGACAGGGAAGCCTGGCATGATGCAGTCCATGGGTCACAAAGAGTCAGACACAACTGAGTGACTGAACTGAGTTGAAAATGAAAAAAATCCTGCCATTTACAATAACGTGGATGAACTTGGAAGACATTATGCTAAGTGAAATAAGTCAGGATCAGAAAAATGAATACTGTATGATCTCACTTATCTGTGGAATCTAAAAAAGTCAAAATAATAGAAGCAGAGAGTAGAATTTTGACTTCCAGGGTCTGGGATATGGGAGACACGAGGATATACTGGTCAAGGGGTACAAAGTTTCAGTTATGCAGGATGAACTAGTTCTGAAGATCTAATGTACATATACTTACAATACTGTATTGTATACTCAAAATTTGTTGAGAGATCTTAATGATCCTACCACACACACACACACACACACACACACACACATATATATGTATATACACATCAGGGTACAGATAAGTTAATTTGCTTAGTTCTGGTAATCATTTCACAATTTATACCTATATCAAAACATCTCACTGTACCAAGTAGGTTTACATAATTTTATTTGTCAATTATACTTCAATAAAGCTAAAGAGAAAAAAGGCAGGTAGAGAAGAGGGTGGAAGAATATCACATGCAAAATGAGCTGCCTGTATAAAGGTCCTGTCAGGAAGGGGAGGATCCATGGCTTATTGGAAAAAATACACATAAAGAAGATACCTGCTCCACTGAAATTTTTCCGTAAGAAAGCTGTTGCATTTACTTTGCAAATCAAATTTAAAAATCAACAACCTACAGTCAATACTGCTATAAATATATTTTTATATTGAAACAATTTTGAAAATATTAATATGCATATATAGAGCAGTTGTCAAGCTACTATAGTAGTATAGATAGGATCCTCTATACATAAGAGCTCCTCCAGGGTATCTTCATATCTTCATCTCTCACAACATGGTCAATGTTTAATAAATGTTTCCTAAAATAATGAAGGAATGAATGTAAAATGGACATGTAAAGAAGAAATCAGCCCCCAATCAATTATTAATGTTTCTAAATCAAGAAAATATAAAGCATACTATTTTGAAAGGCTTTGGATGATAGGCATGTATTGTAAATGGCAATGACAGTGAGATGAATGTACAAAAGCATCTGGACAAAGAGGAAGTAAGATTACCCTCAAAGTTAGGCTTTGAAGCAAGAATCAAGAATCAACGAACGAAAGGTCAAAGAAGAGATGTGAAAAGTCACATTAAAGATACATATAAATTTCATGCCATCCAAAAAATGATTTAGGTATTAATCTATCTACTTTAGGATTAAAGTATCTGAAGAAGGGATGAAATCTAAATGGGACTAGTCAGAGAGGCAAATATCATCAGTATGTATATAAGAAGAATCTGGAATAGAGGGACAGCACAGGGCATATAGTCAACGTGCATTTATGCACATTTATGCATCAGATTACCTTCATCTAAACTAGGATTCAACACCAAATCATTTGACAACCAAAAAAATTTTTTTAAGACAAATCATTCAGGCTTTCCTGGTGGTTCAGTGATAAAAGAATCCACCTATCAATGAAGGAGACACAGGTTTGATCCCTGGGCCAGGAAGATCCCACATACCATGGACCAACTAAGTTTGTGCACCACAACTACTGAGCCTGTGTTCCAGAGCCCCAGGTCTGCAACTACTGTGGCTGCGTGATGCAACTACTGAGGCCCATGCATCCTAGAGCCCAGGCTCTACAACAAGAGAAGCCACCACAATGAGGAGCCCTCCCATCGCAACTAGAGAGTAGCCCCCACTCGCCACAGCTAGAGGAAAGTCTGCACAGCAAGGAAGACCCAGCACGGTCAAAATTTTTTAAATGTTTTTTAAAAAACACAAATTATTCAATTATCACTTAATTCAAGTGAGGTTCACCTATGCAGAAAGATTCCACTGAACAAAAGACATGAACATCAAGTCCTAAGGTAGTTACATTTCTCATTACAATTTAATAGACTTGCATTCTAGCAATATTTGTCAGCACTTGTAACTCAGGCTGATGTGTCCCTGACTCTGAGAGATGACAATTCATTCAGAGCGGATAAGCAGAATTTCTGAGGCCACAGGCTTCGATCCAGCCACTAAATGCTTTCAGTTCATTAGGTACTGAGCGGCACTCTTTGCAAATTTCCCTTAAGAATTATACCACATTCTAAATTAATGAGTCTCAAAATGCACAGTAGTTTACTAAGAACAATCATTTTAAAATCCTTCCACTTCCAGCCATGATACAGTGACAGGAAAAAGATTCTACCGTCCCACCTAAAACAACCACAACATGGACAAAATGTTTGAAACAACTGTTTGCAAGGCTCTGGATATCAGAAAACAAAAGACAGCAATCCCTTGAAAACAGAAAACAAATGAGGTGAGTGGTATAACTGCCCCAGCCATGAGAGAGTTTTTAGGCCATGGCACAGGCAGAAGAAACCCAGGCAAAGCCCACAAGGCCCCCTGGGTTGAGGAGATGAATGCTGACAGTTGAGAGAAACCAAGGCAGCTAGAGTTCACAAGACAGCATGCTCAAAAAAAGAGAGAGCAACACAAGGACAGAGCCCTGAGACCTGTTAAGAATTCTCTTAGATATTCAGTTGAGTACTTACCAGCACATTTATGTAGAAAATTACTCAAGGCCAGGGAAAGAACCACCCAAAAGGATTAGCGGTAACAGTGCCCAGCATTTACACAGGGCCTGGAATACTGCCTGTGCTCACAAGCCAGACTGGAACACCTCATAATTTACAGGGAATTGGAAAGAACATTCAGAAGGGCGTGCAAGTAGCTCCAGAATGAGCCCTGCTCTGGTCCCACCTAACAAGACTCAAAAGCAAGACCAAAAAGGATCAGACTGTTTCCAAGTAACTTAACTGTCTTCCAGGCCAAAGCACATGAAGATTTATAGAAACACAAAAGTATGTAGCTTCGGACAAAGTAAAACTGACTATATCCTGGCATCTACTAACAACTTAGCAGCACAGGGATAGAACTCAGATCTGTTAAGTATCTTCACAAATAAGCTGAGTACATATCAGCACATTCATGCAGAAAATTACTCAAAGCCAGGGAAAGAACCACCCAAAATGTGGATTTTAGTAGTTTTAGATTTTCCTTTTAATTATCAAGCATGTAAAGAAACAGGAAAATGTGATCCATAATGTAGAGATAAATAACGGTATTATATACAGTTTATAATACTATACAGTTTATAATACTTATGTTAAATAAATTGTATCTATTAAGTTTAAAAAGTATACAAGGAAGATATTTTTAAAACACCTAAATTGAACTTGTAGTGATAGAAACTATAGTAGACAGGAATTAATACCATATTAGACATTATAGAAAAAATATTAGTGACCTTGAAAACATAGTAGTAGAGATCATCCAAAATGAAATAGAAAAGAGAATTTTTTAAAACAAAGAGCGAATCTGTGACCTGTAGGGTAACTTCAAGTAGCCTAAATGTATGTGTAATTGAGTGAAGAGGAGAAAAGATGGAGAAGAGAAAAATAAATGTGAATAGCTAAAAAATTTTCTAAATTTCATGAAAACTATAAATTCACAAGTACACTAACTTCAACAAATCTATAAGCACCAACAAAAGGAATGAAAGAAAACTATACAAAACACATTATAATCTAACTGCTCAAAAGAAGTGATAAGAAAAAATCTGAAAAACACATGGAGAAAAAAGATATTGTGAACCAAGGAACCAAGATAAGATGAAAGATTTCTTATGGGAACAAAGCAAGCTAGAAGATGGAGGAGATCTCTGCTCCTAGAGGAGGAAATCAAGATGGCAGAGTTGGGAGATGAAGAACTCACTTGCTGCATCAAATACAACAGAAATACCTCCATATGTGGAACAATTCTCACCAAAAAATAACTGGAAACTGGCAGAAAGACCCCTGAACAACCAAGGCAGAGAGAGAGATCCACACATAATAAGGCAGCAAGGGAAGAGAAACGATCACCTGTACCCAAGGGAGTGGACTCAGAGGAGAAGAGAGATTTCACAGGCAGAGATCCTCCCTGGGGAGTGAGCAGTTGGAGCTACATATGAGGCACCCCATTCCTGGGGTCCTCCACAAAGAAGACGGGCCTCTTGGCTGGTTGGAGTGCTGGTAGGACTAACAGGAAGGCTGGGGAAAGCCTTCTGTTCCCAAAGGAGTGCGCACATGCTTGTTCACTCCTGAAACAGGGCAAAAAGTGCAAATCAGAACTGTGTGAGTAGCTGACTGGCTTTTCACAACTGCCCCATGAACAAACTGAATGTTCCAGCCCCACTTATGTCATGCTGCAGCTCCACACCAGAGCGAGGGCTAACATGACCGAGGAAAGAACCCAGTCATGAGACATAAAGGCAGCTAAGACCCACAGCAATGTCTAAGGGAGGGGACAGGCACTACTGGTGCATGCACAGGCAGCAGCCCACCAGTTGCTTCAGTAAGCGGTGCTGGGAAAACTGGGCAGCTGTATGGGAAAGAATGAGACTGCAACATTTCGTCACACCTTACACAAAAATAAACTCAGAGTGGAGTAAATATCTAAATATAAGTCCAAAAACCATAAAACTCAAACAAGTCTTCTTCAAACTGCTTTTCAAAGTTATCAAACTTTCACTTGTGCACAAAGTTTGTGCACAAACTTTGCAGGCTGTGAAAATATTTTCATCTTTTACTCATATTTCACCATGCATTTATACTAGTAGCAACTTTTTTGTCTATTAAAGGAATTTTAAAATTTTTATTTTGTTAGTTTATAATCATTTCAGTTCAAAGTGACCCATCTGGACATTTATAATCCTAGTGATGCAATTCTATAATCTGGTACATTGTGACCATGAGTAGGCATGTGTCTCCATTGCTCAATAATAGCCAGCTAAATTCTTTGATCACTGACATAACCTTAACACAGAAAATGGCTGAAATATATATTTTTAATTTTTCTTCCCAGGAATTCTTATTCTGAACAAACATCTGTGATTAGATATAACTAAATATAATATAAATATTACTAAAATTTTTATCTATTTTAAAAAGGCCTTACAATTAGTCTTTTTCCAGACCCATGTTTTTGTTGTTCAGTCTCTTGTCTTTTATCTGCATCCGTTGCAAAAGCAAGTACTTGGTATCTGTTTAAAAGATATGGAATAACTGTAAGTGACTTTATAGTTAAAAAGTGTAAATTATTTTAAAAGCACATAATCTCAATATAATTAAATTTTCAAATATATATAATCTACAAATCTTATGTATCACCTTTTCCTTGATTTTAAACATTGTAAAATTTAGTGAATGAATTTAGTAATGAAGTCTACTGAATGATGATGAATTTGTACTGTGGTATAAGACTATGTAAAACTGTAATGATAAAGAAATTATAACCATATGTCCCAAAATTCAATATTGGGGAAATAGCTCTGCCAAATGTCAAAGTATCCCCCATTAGAATTTTATGTGATAATAACAATACTCAATAAAGTTCCAGTACCAAAACCCAAAATAGAAAAAAATACAAATAATGCAAAGCAACCAGATGAGTTATTGCCACCATACTCCAAAAAGTGGTAGTAGAAGTTATTAATATCTGTGGACCCCAGAAGGTCTGAGTTTAATTCCCAGCTAACCCATTAACTAGTTGAGTAAATTTTTGAAAATTAATCACTCTATGTCTTAATCTTTCTTATCTATAAAATGGGAATGATAATAATCTTAACTCAAGCATTGTTAGAAGAACTTAAAAAATAATTTAATGTCTGGTACAGTATCTGATGGGGTTTCCCTGGTAGCTCAGCTGGTAAAGAATCCACTTGCAATGCAGGAGACCCCAGTCTGACTCCTGGGTCACGAAGTTCCCTGCAGAAGGGATAGGCTACCCACTCCAGTATTCTTGGGCTTCCCTGGTACCTCAGATGGCAAAGAAGAAAACTGCATTTGGGAGACCTGGGTTCGATCCCTGGGTTGGGAAGATCCCCTAAAGGAGGATGTAGCAACCCACTCCAGTATTCTTGCCTGGAGAATCCCCATGGACAGAGGAGCCTGGTGGGCTACAGTCCATGGGGTCACAAAGACTTGGACATGACTGAGCAACTAAGCACAGCCCAGTATCTGATATACACTAAGGTACCCGATTATTGACTGACAGGTTGACAAATAGACAAATACAAATTTCTGTATACACAGAGATAAATCACCTAGTAATTTATCTGGTATGTAATAAGTTCTCAATAATGGACATTATGGACGTTAGGACTTTCTGTCAGTATTGTATATCAATAGCAACATTTAGCACAACATTATAAATCAATTATAATACAATAAAATAAATTTTTAAAAAATGTTAACATTTAGCTCAGACCATTATTCAAATCAACTGATAAATATCATTCAATTTAGAAATGATTAATTTAGACAATGAAGTTTAAATTCCCTTATTTCCATTAATTTATGGTATATTTTTACAGTAATAATTCTACTCAAAATGAAGAAATTTTAGACTCATAGATCCCTTTCCACTTTCAATAGGTAAGAGAAAAATTAGTAAAGAGATATATTCAGATAGCTCCTATTATCTAAGAGAAAGATGTCTGATAGTGTAAACATCAGGAACCTTAATGAAGAAAGGCAAAGTAGAATATCTAAATAAGCACTAAAATGTATACTAATATTCAAATGTTATGTATCAACTCATATTCTATTCCAGTCAGCAGTATTTCATTTGTAAAAAGCCTCCAATTTTCTGTGAATGAAGAATGACTATAAATTATGATAGATTTTGCAGTACATTCATGAAAATCAGTCTTCCAGTTAATAAGAAAGCTTAATGCATGTAAAGTTCACTCACTCAATAAACATACAGTAGGGATCTCATACAAGCATTAACAAGGGGGAAAACTACTACATGACCTATATCCACCAGGACGTTCCAAAGTAGTTGAGGAGATTCATATATAATACTAACAAATAAGCATAACTCAGAGTGCACTGTGCTGACTGGTATGCATATAAGTACCAAAGGAATATGATGGTAGAAACAGGTAACATGGGTGTGTTAGGGGAAGCACACTGACTGAAACTGCCCACCCTGGCCAGGCACCATAGTAACCATTTGCATGAGCTGTGTTACAACAGGAGGTCCTGGTAAGGAACATGGAACTAATAAGCCACCGCCAACTGGAAGAGCTCAGGAAAGGTCAAAAGGAGACACCACCTGTCCAACCACCTCCCAGAATCCTTCTCTCTGGCATCCATCTTGGCTGAACAAGGCGTGTACCACTAGCAAGGACTCTGAGTCAGAATGACTGGCTAAAGACAACCCGGAAACTAATCCCATCACCATAAAACACAAGACTGCGAGCCACATGGCAGAGCAGTTCTCCTGGGTTCCCTTACCCTACTGCTCTCCACTCGGGTGCCCTTTCCCAATAAAATCCCTTGCTTTGTCAGCGCATGTGTCTCCTCAGACAATTAATTTCTGAATGTTAGACAAGAGCCCAGTTTCGGGGCCTAGAAGGTGTCCCCCTTTCTGCAACAGGTGGAGGAAATATATACGTTCTTGGTATCAGTTAAGGAGGAGAAAGCTAGGTTTTGAAGAATGAGTGAAAACTCATCATGCTGTTAAAGACTAAAAAACATAATGGCAAAGCAAACAACACATGCAAAGGCATGCAGCAGTAAAAGAGACATCAAAGGCCATGGCAGGAGCTTAGGAGAGATGCCTGGCAGAGAGGAATAAGTCATGGGAAATGACACCAATAAACGATAGGAGCCTGAAGATCTCAACCTTGTAAAACCATGCTAAAAAATTCCATAGGCAGCAAATACCATCTGAGAATGACCTTCAATATCCCTAGGTCTTCAAAACTGCCAAATAATTATACCTCACACTCTGACCTCCAAATAGGATTCCTTTAGTCTTCTTGGTTCAAGATAACAGAAATAGTGTGCACTGGTGACTAAAACATCGGTCCAGAGCTGGTCCATTAGGACCAGTCCTAATGGATCTAACCTCAGGCAATAATTAATATAGGCAGTTCATTTCCTGCAGACACCAACCTACCAGAGGATGATATGGATATTAATGAGGTTGTTACAAAAATCCAAAGCTTTGGAGCTGTTTGAAGCTTCTTACATAACTATAGAGAGTTATTATTTCATCTGAGGCATAAGTGAACCCCTAAAGTGGTCTCATTAACATCAAAACAACATGCAGAGACACAGCCAAAATTCACTCCTGATTTCTAAATCCAGAACAATTCTCTTCCTGGAAGGCAGCTCAGAAGAGGATTTTATTACTAAACATAACTGGCAATAAATTTAGATCATGACAAACTTCCAATAGCATTTATTTTACAATTCTTTCTTAAATTCTCTTAACTGGGATCAATAATGTACATGAAAATCTATTTCCAAAACTGAACAATTCCAAGCAGACTTGGAAATTCTGAAATAAAACACTTGGATATTTTTTCTTATCACTCAAGTGTTCAGTGATATAAGCTAAAGAATAAAATTCCCTTATTGAAAGTGCTGAAAGAACAATCAGGTCCAATGTAAAAAAAATTTCATGAAAGATTGTCATACATATTTTTCAGAACAGAAAGGCACTAATCACAGACACGGCAAGTCCAGGTGAACTGTGATATTTTTTGAACCAATAGTCACAAATGCTTAACAGGTCCCATAGAGCACCAATGACAAACTCAACCATATAATTTAGTGCTCTTCTGTATCACATCATAAAAACAGCAGCAAGGAACTAAAAGATGGATTGAGGTGTTGCAGAAATACAAAAGTAAACCCTCCAAAATCATTTATTTTCAGATGAAAAATAGCTGTCACCTGAAAGCGTGCCAGGAGATTTGGGAACTTTGATAATTTAACCTGTAGAATTCTACTAGAATTGGAAGCTCTGGATACAAAGCATTACTATGTTCATTCCAACTATAGCTAAAACATTCTTGATTGTGCTAATGAGAATCATTTTCATCGAAAGATTCCAGTAACAAAATAGAAGGTTTCCTCCTAAACTTTTCATTCCTTCATTCATTAGCATTAACATTTCATTAACATAATGTTAACATAACATTAACATTTCATTCCTTCATTCATTAACTAGTAGATCTTGTTGAACATCTACTTCAAAAGAACAGACATCAGAAAGGCCCTTCCAAGTCTAGATTAGAGATAACAAAAACAGAAATCCAACTGAAAAGAGAAAGACCTGAATGTCAATCAGAATGTGAAGCAAGAGCTGAATAAGAGCAGAAAAAAGGTACACAGATCATGATTTACTGCCTAAATCATTCTGGCAAAGAAAGAAAGACAGAATAAAAGACAGTCCAAGTTGGCAAAAACATGGCAAGGGAATGGCCATAGGCCCCTCTCTACCAAAAAAAAAAAAAAAGAAAAAGTAAACAATTCTCTTACTTCCAAAGAAAAAACAACATTCAAAGTGTGTCCCTGAATTAGAAGCACCTGGAGCATTATATTTGTAATGATGATTTCTGGATCTTTTCCCTAAACCTACTAAATCAAGATCTACGGGGTTGGGGCTTGAGAATCAGCAAACATACATTTTATAAAAGGAGGCCCAGATGGTTCTTATGTACACTAAAGTTTGAGACTCATAGCCTTCTCCAGTTCCTATCTGAACATAACTGATCTGTATTCAAAGTAATTAAATATCAATATCAAAAATGAAGATGAATTATGTCTTAAAAGCCTTTTATAAACTGATTATATTTTTAACTGATTATAGATTTAATGAAGCCTCCAAAGACCAAAACTACAGTTTTCATGCTTTCTCCCATCCTAAATTACACCTGTGATTATCATTTAAAACTGTGATTATCATTTAACCTATTATACTTGAAAGTGTATATAAATACAACATACCACTTAATGTTATAAACCCTCTTGATTGTCATCATTTCACAATAATCATAAATCCCATGCATTTTACCATTATAAAGGATTCACGTAATAAATAAAGTGTGCACTTCTTAGTTCTAGATGAAGATCAATATAATAGATAAGTATGCTGGAGAATTACCACAGTTAAAACAATATGAGTTTCTGTGAGATTAAACCTTCACATTAAGGAAACCTATACATTGCTTCCTCAACTAATCATTCCTGGAGTTATTACCAAATTAATTCCTATTCACATATTTCAAAGAGTAAGTCATGGGACATTCAAATCTTTTTATCATGACCCCAGTGTAACACTGCTAGTATCACACTATTTGGCAAGAACTAGGGTGGAAAGCTGAAAACCAGATCTCCTCAATATCGCTTAAGTTTTGGCAGGATTGAATGAATTATACAGATATTTTTCACAGTGTCTCAAAACAATTATAATATTTTATTTATTACCAGTAGCAATGCCACAACTTATTCATCTCCTTTGAACAAGAGCCATAGGCATTATAGAAGGAATATGACATAATGATACTCTACCTCCATCAGTTAACTTCTGCTTAGTCACAAATATTTGCTTATTTTCAGAGTTTTAAATCCTCATTGCCTTAACAATAATTCTCAAAGCATAGATGGTCACTTATCAGGGAAAACTACGTTAACTTGCAATATACACAATAATAAAACCTAAGGCAAAAATTTACAGCTGTTGCCTGATGAATTTATATACTTCCTTCCTGCCTTGGGAAAAATCATATGGCCAAAAACAATACTGAAAGGCTATAATGAAGTGCTGCCTGGATGTTTAAAGTTCTAAACGCTGCCATCAGTAAGATAACAACAATAAAGTTACTGAAGATATTATAATTCTCCAAGACTATTTCTTTTCCCAGAATGGATATCTACACTTTTTTTCCCCATGCTCTCTTCCAACAAAAAGCACAGCCTCCAAAACTCAAAACCATAATTCTTATTGAAACTTAGCTGGTAGAAGAAAAAAGGGTCTCTCTCTCAAACACAATTCACCAAAATCGATAAAAATTTCTAGCGAAAGGGGTCATTTTCATACTTCACTTCTGTGAACTGTTCTTTTAAAAACACTCATAATAACTTGTATTTCTTGCCAGTATTCTTCCCTTGTCACATACATTCTTTTTTATGTTATAAAATCATTCTATATATGTATTTGTATATGGGTTTTTTCATTCACACTGTGTTTTATTATTTATAAATCAGGGAACAATCACAATAATTACTGAGCATTTTCTATGGGGTGGCACTAGTGGTAAAGAATCCATTTGCCAATGCAGGAGACACAAAAGATGCAGGTTCCATCTCTGGGTAAGGAAGAACCCCTAGGGGAGAAAATGGCAACTTGCTCCAGTAACCTTGCCTAGAAAATTCCATGGACAGAAAAGCCTGGTGGGCTACAGTCCATAGGGTCACAAAAAGTTGGACACAGCTGAGTGCACGTGCGCCCACACACACACAAACACACACACACACACACACACACACACACACACCCCATGGTAATTTAACATACACTTAATCCTTCTAATAAGTTTGTTGAAATAGATGTTGCTATCTCCTTTACATTCAGGATAAGGACACCGTATTAAACAGCTGTAAGTCGCAAAATCAGGACTTCAATCCACGTGTCCCTCTCTCCAAATCCTTCCTCTCAATCTCTGCACTATACTGCTTTGCAAATATTTTATATGTAAATTATTTCTGCTAAGTCGCCACAATTACATTATAACAACAAAATCACTCTCCTTTTTATTTGCAACATTCAAGCTCTTTGTGGAAAAGAATTTAGCAGCAGCATCAGTTCAGTTCAGTCACTCAGTCGTATCTGACTCTTTGCGACCCCGTGAAGGGCAGCACGCCAGGCCTCCCTGTCCATCACCAACTCCCGGAGTTTACTGAAACTCAAGTTCATCGAGTCGGTGATGCCATCTAACCATCTCATCCTCTGTCGTCAGCAGCATACACACACATAAAAAAAAATCATGATTCCAAAGATTCAAGATCCATACTCACTTGTAACTTTCCACTTGACGGCAGGAAGAAACAGTAATGAAGGAATCTGTGCGGGAACTGTAAGCAAGAGGGCCGGGTAAAAGAGAACCAGGGAGAAACCTCCCAAAAGCATAGCTTTCCTGCTCAAACACCATCAGCATCCCATCCATAGACTGGATACAAATTAAATCACGACCTAAAGAAAAATTAAAGGAAATTAAAGGACATGTTCTTTTTATAAATACAATGACTTTGTCGCTGTTCAACACAAATTTAATTCCCCCCCCCCCAGGGGCAAAATGAGCAGCTTAAATCTTGGGATGCAAAACAATGAAGCTATAAGATTATTGTATTTCACTGTATACACATTTCCCAGTTTTTTCATTATTCATGTCTATAGTTTTAAATATATTTGTTTTCATTTACATGAGCTAAAATTTCTAGCTCAAGATAATCCCTGAGAACAGTCATGACTCTGCAAAATATCATTTTTTCCAAAATCAGAACTATAAACTGTTCTGCACCAGGCTATTTCTCATCTTCATAGTATGTCAGCCCATATTTTCACAAGACTTAAACATCAGTCAAACACAGCACACCAAATCCATAGACATGTATTAAATACCAGTTTTATACAAATCAGTGTTGAGTACCATTGGGAGAGAAAACAATTAATAATGAATAATACTAATCATTGACTATCCTAAACTATCAACTGATTTTGAAGTGTTTTCTACTATTAATCGGTAAGTATTAGTCTGTAGTGGAGAAGGAAATGGCAACCCACTCCAGTATTCTTGCTTGGAGAATCCCATGGGCAGAGGAGCTTGGTGGGCTGCTGTCCATAGGGTCGAACAGAGTCGGACATGACTGAAGCGACTTAGCATGCATGCATGCCTTGGAGAAGGAAATGGCAACCCACTCCAGTATTCTGGCCTGGAGAATCCCAGGGATGGGGGAGCCATCTATGGGGTAGCAGAGAGTTGGGCAAAACTGAAGCGACCTGGCAGCAGCAGCAGCATTAGTCTATAAGTCGCTCAGTTGTGTTCAACTCTTCGTGACCCCATGCTCTAAACAATGTAGTCCATGGAATTCTCCAGGCCAGAATACTGGAATGGGTAGCAGTTCCCTTCTCCAGGCGAGCTTCACAACCCAAGGAGCGAACTTAGGTCTCCACATCACAGGTGGACTTTTTTAACAGCTGATCCACCAGGGAAGCCCCAAAACTATAAACTGATTATGAAGTGTTTTCTACTATTAGTCTGTAAAACTATTAGCTACAAAATTCACCACTCTTAAAATATACTGAGAAGATGACAATGATGATGATTTCTACAGTACAGTCTCTATCCAGTCAGCAAAAACAAGACCAGGAACTGACTGTGGATCAGATCATGAACTTCTCATTGCCAAATTCAGACTTAAATTGAAGAAAGTAGGGAAACTCACTAAACCACTCAGGTATGACCTAAATCAAATCCCTTACAATTATACAATGGAAGTGACAAATAGATTCAAGGGATTAAATCTGATAGACAGTGCCTGAAGAACTAAGGACGGAAGTTTGTGACATTGTACAGGAGGCAGGAATCAAGACCATCTCCAAGAAAAAAATATGCAAAAAATCAAAATGGTTGTCTCAGGAGGTCTTACAAATAGCTGAGAAAAGAAGAGAAGTTAAAGGCAAAGGAGAAAAGGAAAGATATACCCGTCTGAATTCAGAGTTCCAGAGAATAGCAAGGACAGATATGAAAGCCTTTCTCGGTGATCAGTGCAAAGAAATAGAGGAAAACAATAGAACGGGATGACTAGAGATCTCTTCAAGAAAATTAGAGATACCAAGGGAACATTTCATGCAAAGATGGGCACAATAAAGGACAGAAATAGTATGTGTAACATATGTCTAGAAACCTAACAGAAGCAGAAGATATTAAGAAGAGGTGGCAAGAATACACAGAAGAACTATACAAAAAAGATCTTCACAACACAGATAACCACAGGGGTCTGATCCCTTACCTAGAGCCAGACATGCTGGAATGTGAAATTAAGTGGGCCTTAGGAAGCATCACTATGAACAAAGCTAGTGGAGGTGATGGAATTCCAGTTGAGCTATTTCAAATCCTAAAAGATGATGCTGTGAAAGTGCTACACTGAATATGCCAGCAAATTTGGAAAACTCAGCAGTGGCCACAGGACTGGAAAAGGTCAGTTTTCATTCCAATCCCAAAGAAAGGCAATGCCAAAGAATGNGACTGCAGCCATGAAATTAAAAGACACTTGCCCCTTGGAAGAAAAGCTATGACCAACCTACACAGCATATTAAAAAGCAGAGAAATTACTTTGCCAACAAAGGTCTGTCTGGTCAAGGCTATGGTTTTTCCAGTAGTCATGTATGGATGTGAGAGTTGGACTATAAAGAAAGCTGAGCACTGAAGAAATGATGCTTTTGAACTGTGGTGTTGAAGAAGACTCTTGAGAGTCTCTTGGACTGAAAGGAGATCCAACCAGTCCATCCTAAAGGAAATTAGTTCTGAATATTATTGGAAGGACTGATGCTGAAGCTGAAACTCCAGTACTTTGGCCACCTGATGCGAAGAACTGACTCATTTGAAAAGACCCTGATGCTGGGAAAGACTGAAGGCAGGAGGTGAAGGGGACAACAGAGGATAAGATGGTTGCATGCATCACTGACTCGATGGACATGAGTTTGAGCAAGCTCTGGGAGTCAGTGATGGACAGGGAAGCCTGGCATGCTGCAGTTCATGGGGTCACAAAGAGTCAGACACAACTGAGCAACTGAACTGATAGTACCTCTAATCTGAGAAAGATCCAGTGAGTATGATTTTTCACATTCTGCTAGTGTTGATTAGTATATACTATTGTCTAAATATCACAAAAGGAAGAATTCTGTCAAAGGAAAATTAAGTCACTCTAAGGGAATAAACAAAAGGTCAGTCTTCTAATTGATTTGTCATTTCTAACTCATACTTACCACAGTAAGTCCTATAGTAACTATTTCATATTACCTTGATATCAGGGTCAATACTGGAGAAGGGCATGGCAACCCATTCCACTATTCCTGCCTGGAGAATTCCATGGACAGAGAAGCCTGGCTGGCTATAGTCCATGGGGTCGCAAAGAGTCGCACACGACTGAGCGACTAAACAACAGGGTCAATATAGTATATATACCTAAATATTGAAGCTTAAAGAATTATTTACTCAAAAACAAATGAAATTGTATAGAAATTGATGGCAATCTTATTACTGTACCTGATTATGGAAACAAGGGCAATTTTTAAAAAGAAAAATGTTTTGCCAAAGGAGGGTTTTTAAAAGAAAACAAACTGAGATTTGGGGTGCTTATTACTGCAACATACTCCACCCCATCTAGATTGATTCAATAAATTTAACCAGTTTAAATAGTCTGAGAAACGTTTCAGGTTGAATATTGTCTTAGCATATGTTCACTAAACACACACCTGAATCACTCTGGCATCTCTAAAGAGAAAGCAATAGTTCCTGTTAATGCTGTTTTGAAGAGTATTCCCTCAATGGTCAAATTCTTTTATAATGCATAGTAGGTTTTTCAGTCAGTTTTAAATTTTTTTTTATCTATTCTTTATCTACTCTACTTACATTAAAGTTTTCACACCATAAGGTATGAGTTTGTATGGATGCTGTGTGTGTACTTGAATTACCTCTAGACACACAGTCATCCAGACAGAATTAAAGCCTATATCTCCAGGCCTGTATAACAGATATATCATATGATTACTTTCTTGCCAATGAGAGAGGAGCAAGGTGATAAGTGCACCATCCAGACATACCCTTAAAAGGACTGAGTATACACTCTCTTCTCTCTTCCCAGCATGATGATAGGGCTGGAACAGCTATCCTGGCCTCAGAGATGGAAGTCACATATTGTAAAAGCAAAAGAGCTACCTACCAGTCCTGGACCACTTTATCTCCAAGTGATCAAATTTGACAGAAATAAACATCTTCCTTAATTAAGTTGGCTCTTTATTAAAGTAACCAAATTTGTATCTTAAATAGCATAGAACTTATCTGAGCATAAAGACCCATCCAGCTTTGCTGACTCTTAAAATTTAATTTCACTTGATTAGACCCTGGTACCAAAACACAACCAGATATAGAATACATTGGAACAACTGGGGAAATTGGAATATGAATGCATGTTAGAGAACAGTAGGAATTATTGTTAATTTTCTTAAGTGTGATCATGGTATGATTACATAAGAGAATGTTCTTATTAAATATATGTTGCAACAGTTATGAGTGAAGTGGCACAAGATCTGTAATTTGCTTTCAAATCATTCATTAAAAAAAGTGTGTATACATGTATATGCTAAACATTTACAACTGTTGACTCTAAATGGTGTTAATATGGAGACTCATGTTATTCTGATACTTAAATTTTTCACAATAAAAATGTAAACAAAGTGTTGAAATATATTTCTTTTGTAAACAAATGTACTTTTTTAACCATCAAGGAGAGTAGTGAGCACTGGCAAATTAAGCAGGACCTAGAAGGAGAGCAATACATTTAATTTTAGTAAATCAAGAATCAGAGACAGAAGAAATCCAATCAATGAAACAATGTGTTTCATTGACCTACGGAGGAGGATACTACTGTAACCAAAATATAGTCTGTATTATTAAGAAATGTGAGAGCAAGACATGTATACTTCCAAGTAAAAGTAAGTACCGTAAAATTTAAGTTCATTTCAATATGTTGAATGTCACTGAACCACAGCCTCCCAAAGACCTCAAAGAAGTGCTCCTCAAATTGTGGCCCCCAGTCCACCAGCATCAGTATTGTCTAAGGAAATTCTTATAAATGCAAATCCTAGAGTTCCACTTGAAATTTATGGAATGAGAAACTCTGATGTTAGGGCCCAAGAAGCCTAGGTTTTAACAAGCCCCTAGAGGTTGTTTCAGTATTCCTTAGTAACTAAAGGTTTTAACAAGCCCCTAGAGGTTGTTTCAGTATTCCTTAGTAACTAAAGAATCCACCTGTCAATGCTGGAGACATGGGTTTGATCCCTGGGTCAGGAAGATCCCCAGGAGAAGGAAATGGCAACCCATTCCAGCACTCTTGCCTGGACAATCCCATTGACAAAAGAGCCTGGCAGGCTACAGTCCATGGGGTCCCAAAAGTGTTGGATACAACTTA